CCAGGAACTGAGTTTGACACCTGTGCTATAGAGCATGTGAGCTGACAGTCACGCACCGCTACATGACTGTTTTCAGGATTGCATATGAGGGCCGACGGCACCTGTAATGGAAAGGAAGGGAATCCTGCTGTATTTATATTTATTTCAGTGTTTTCATGCCCAAACAAAGCGAAAGCACAGAACAGACTCTCATTTAAGAGTGAGGGGCGCCCCCTGGTGGTTTGTCAGTATGAGTTGTGTATAAGGAGGATCAGCTCTGTGATGTTTATTGCCCCCCCTCAGAGAAAGACTGAAGACATGGGAGAAATACCATTACAGGAGGATGGTGAGATAGAACTGTAATATACGGGAGAATCACACACACACACACACACAAAATTGAAAAGTTTTTGGATTTTTTTATTTTTAATGCCAATCGTGTGTGCCAGGCCAGTAGGATGCGCTGTTGCTATGTTAGTGAACAGTCACTGTGAGGAAGTGTGTAGAATCTGCCGTGTTCATTTAATGTGCTGCTGGTGGTGACGTGTAGTAAACACACACTTTACTGATGAAGCCTTAGCAAACACAACAGCTCTAGCGCACAAACACAACAATGTGTGTGTGTGTGTGTGTGTGTGTGTGTTTTTATCTACACTGCCCTAAACACTGTTTGCTCTGTGCGTGTGTTTTCAGGATCTTCATGTACGTGTTCCTCTCGGGTCTCGGCCTGCTATTGGTCATCGGTCTTCATCAGCTGCTTGAATCACGCAAGGTTAGACACACACATACACACACACACACACATCATATTTAGACTGATGGTCACGTGATCATCAGATAGATCTGTGTCTGTTACTAATGCGCGTGTGTGTGTGTGTGTGTGTGTGTGTGCGCGCGCGTATGAGACGGCCTGCAGCTAAAGTGGAGATGGACACATCCAACCACAATGATGTGGACATGAGCTGGATCCCACAAGAAACACTCAACCAGATCAGTGAGTCTTAGCCAATCACAGATCATCACACACACACACACACACACACACACACACACAGTCTCAGCCAGTCACAGAGAGAATTGTCTTGTTATTTAGAAACACTCTATTGCAGTGTGTAGAGCACATCAGCAGGGGGCGCTGCAGCTCCACACCGAGCATCACTCTGATGTTCAACAGTATAGTGAGAACTCACCTTTATACACAGCTCATGTCTGATCAATCATCACTGATCCACACGCACAACTGAAGCCCACACACACACACACACACACACACACACACACACACACACACTGATGTTGGTAGTGTAGACTGTATATTCTGTCCTCACAGTAAACACTCGTGATCATCAGCCGTGCTCCATCAACATCCACACACAGGCTCCATGTACTGGTATTGCTACACATGTGGGGACATTGGGTCCTCAGCATGTACAATGCCTGATACACACACACACACACACACACACACACACACACACTCACACACACACACACACACACACATTTTAGGTTAAAACCACCGTCAGTCACACACACACACACACACACACAGAATTAAGAGTCTCATTCTCTCTGTGTGTGTGTGTGTGTGTGTGTGTGTGTGTTGGCTGATCAAGTGTGTAACACCGGCAGCTCTTCTTCTTCTGCTCTTCCTGTCTGATGTCTGTTTATTCACTTCCTCTCTCTTTATTTCCTCTTCCTGTGCTGCTCAGTGGCGAGTCGGAGAGGTGAGCTCAATCCTGCTTCTGTTTCTGCTCTGTGTGTGTTTGTGTGCGCGCGTTTGCTCATCTTGACTAACTGTGTGTGTGTGTGTGTGTGTGTGTGTGTGTGTGTGT